TGTGTGACTGCACATGGGAGTGTGTCTGTGTGTACACATGAGTGTATGTGTGTGTGCATGGGAGTGTGCGCACATGCGTGGGTGTGTGTGGGAGTGCCTTGCACAGCAGCTGTGAGATGAGGGAGGTTGTGCAGACAGGAGGAGGTGAGTGAGGACCGCCAGCTCCTCCGAAGGAGCACAGGGACAAGATGACGGAAGAGGCAGGAAGGGAGAAGGCAGTCGGGAGGCTAAGGGGCAGGGCCTGGGGAGGAGTGGAGGGGCCTGGGGGCCAGCCCAGCTGGAAGGCCCAGCCTGCGGGGGTGAGGGCAGAAGGTCAGAGCAGCGCCCCTTCCACACCATGTCGGCAGGGAGGTTACAAGTGGGTGTTTCCCTTGGTCAGGCCTGGCCCAACACCTTCACACGACACGTGCTTGGGAACAAAGTGCCGTCTGCCATCCTGGTCGCCTTGACCGCCGGCAGAGGCTCTGGAGCCCGGCTTGCAGGACGTGTGCCACCGCCGGCGCCGGGCATCGACGCGCTCCGCCTGCACGCACACGCTCGCACACGCCACACAGCACACCCCCTCGGAGCACCTGTGAACAGACGGCCTCTCCGAGCCTGGGTTCCTGGGAAGTTGGCAGGAATTGCTCTACACTTGAAAATAACACAGACTGTTCCGTGACCAGCGGTCCCACTTGGCTCTCCCACGGGCGCTGTCGAGCATCTGCAAGGTGAGCGGATTCCCCTAGAGGGCAACAGAGGGCTGAGGTCCCCAGAAGGGGGCAGCAGTGACAGTGTCCCAGGGACCCTGTCCTTGGAGAGGGCACCTGGCGTGGCAGAGCCGTGATCTGGCTCACCAGGAAGGACGTCAGGTCCCCTTCGTCACACCTCCATTGACAGATGAGGACACTGAGGCCCAGGCTGGGGAGGCGCCCTGTCCCAAGTCACAGAGCAGAGCAGGAACTTGTGTGTCCAGCCTGGGCCAATGCCCCTTCCCCTACAGAAGACATGGAACGGGCCACCCTTCCGTCCTGGGGTCCCTCCGGATGAATGTGAGAAGCATGGAGGGGCGTGGTCCTGAGCCCCCCCTGCAACACTTTCCTCCCCAACTCTACCCAGGCTGGTCCCTCCCTTATGGGCAAACATGCCCGAGAGAACACAGGGCAGGACCTGTGCACCCCAAGCCAGCCCCCAGCCTTTTGTCCACTGCCGCTGCCCAGGTCAGCGAGCCCCAAACCCTGGCTGCACAAACGCCGCCCTCAGACTCCTGAGCTGGCCCTGGAGGAGGGGCCTGCTCTTCCCCCAGCAGGGGCAGCAAACCCGAGGTTCTAATTAGCAGCGTCTGGAACATCCAAGTGCCCTGTCTGCAGGTGAAGGAAATGTGTTTCCTAATTGGCTCCCTGCCGGGTGTCAGTCAGAGCGTAGAGATTATGCACCTCCTCCCCACCCTCCTTGCGTGGCCTGTGCTGGGGACTCACTTCCTCCCAACCCCCAGCCAGCCCCCTTCCTGTCTTCCTGCTCATCTTCCCCTGGGCTGGCCCAGGTCTGCTCTGGGTGTGGGAGGGGAACCCCTATTCACACTTCTCTCAGGGGTCCAGGATCCCAACAGGATCAGGGAATAGTCTCCCCAAGATCCCGCAGAACTGAGTCAAGACCAGGCCCCAGCCCCAGAGCCAGGCCTGCAAAGGCTGCTGGGCTGGCTTCCACTGTGCCCGACCCTCGACCCTCGGGGGGCCCTCGGACACCCCAAGGGGCCACTGGCTCCTTCCTCAAGGGGCTTGTCCCCGAGGCCCCGCCCACCCCGCCATGCAGAAGGCCTTGAGGACCCTTCCTGATGCTTCTGTTCCCCTCCTGCCTGAACACACAGGCCGAGATGCTAAGTTGGGTGGGGGACTCCAAGACGATCAGGGACAATCCTGGGGACCAGAACCCCCAGTGTTTTTGGGGAATGGGAGGGGAAGAGCCTGTCCTGGCCCTTAAGGCAATGATACAATAGCTTTAGACCTCGTCAACTCCCTGGGGTGGGGGGGATCCCACTTTCCTCCTGCCCCTGATGCTCCTCAAGTCTGGCCTTGCAGCAGAAATTCGGGCGACTAGGCAGGGTGCCTGGCGGGGCGTGGGCAGGAGCAGGGTGGCCCCGATGAAGTCCAGAACGGTGGCACACGGGCTGGCCCTGCCCTGCCGGGCCTTGGACGGGGAGGCCTGGGGGGGGGCGGGCAGGGGCACCCAGAGAAGGGCCTGCGGAAGGAGCAGGAGGCTGGGCCTCCCCTGGGCAAGTGCCCTCACCCAGGGCCAGGGCCCCTGTGCTAATGGAACTGAAGCCCACCCCTTTGACACCCCTTCATGCTGAAAATCCAGGAGGGCATCAGGTGTGAGGGGAGGCGAGGACTGACTCGGAGCGGAGGTCAAGTGGAGCCAGAGGCTGTGCCCACCAATCCCCACCGCAGGGGAGAAGCCCGTTGCCAGGAGGCCCCAGCAGGGACAGGGTGCAGGAGGGCCTGGGGCTCCGCCGGGTCTATGAAGAGGGGGTACCGGGCCCCTTGGGCAGAGACAGGGCCTGCAGCTGGTGGGCGAGGAGGCCAGGAGAGCTCGGGGGGCTGGTGTCCCCCGGAAACCAGGGGTGGGGAAGGTGGACTTCCACGGAGGGTAAGTCAGAAGAGAACAAGACAGGACAGTCAAACAGAACCAGGTGGAAACGGGATCTGTTTTGGTACCTTTTAAATAAAGTTCGATTTTCCCTTTGTTTTCACCCAAAAAAACAACAGGGCTGTGGGTCAGCACCTCACAGAGACTGCTCAGCTCTCTCCTTCTCCCGCCCACCTCCACCGCGGCTACTTACGGTGCTTCGTGCTAACATGAAAACAGCCCGGCCCTGAGCGGCTGCCCTCTCCTTTCCCGTCCTGCCCCTGTCCTGGGCGTGGGGGGAGGGGTGTGGTGAGGGGCACGGGGCACTTGTCCACGACTTGGGGCTCCCAGGGCCTGCAAGGACAGCCGAGGACAGTGGCAGCCCCCAGGCCCTCCTGCCTGAGTCCTCATCCCACAGGGGGCTGCCCCGTCCCCAGCGAACGCCACGCGGGGGCTGGGAGGCCCGAGACTCTGCAGCTCGGGGCCATAGCTCCATCCGGGGCCCCGGGCCTCCCCTGTGGCTGTGGGCCTGGCCCAGAGACTGGACGCCCTTAGCCTTGAAACTACTTCCAGGTTTGTTTTCCAGAGGGAGCTGGACGTTTCGGCACTGCCGTGGGGTGTAAACACTTTGAGGGGCTTTAGGAACCCACTGTGGAACCCCAGAAGGGTCTGAGCAGGGGTAAACACGGCCTGGCCCCTTCTGAATGGACATACAAAGGCTGCGGGGGGGGGGGGGTCGTCTGCTTCATCCTGGGGAGGAGTGCAGCGGGCTCGGGGGGAGTACACGTGTGTGCACGCAACAGGGGAACGTTTCAGAAGTTCTCGAGATTCCTCTTGGCTCCTTCGGGCCCCATCGCTCATTTCATTCTGCTAAAAGGTCCTAACCATTGTCCGTATTAAAGAAAAAAATCCTTACATTAGTTCAAACAGCTGGCCTAGTTGGAACCCCCATGGGGTCAGCTTCCAAGGCCGGCGACCAGACTTCCTGGGTAGGGAGGGACGGGGCGCAGGGCTGGGTGAGGCCTCCTGATGGGGCCCGCCCTTCTCGCCCCTCTTCCATCTCCGTTTCTCCCCTCCTCCTTTCCCACCCCGCTCCTGGGAGCCTGTCAGACGCGAGGCCCCGTGCTGGGCGCTGCCCACGTGTCACAGAGGAGCACTCGGCTCCCACCAGCACCAGGACTGGCCCCAGGCCCCAGGCCCACGGGGGCAGCCCGGCCTGGAGAACTGGCAGAACGAAGAGGCCCCTCCACGTCCCCAGAGGAGCCGGAGTGATGCTGCCCCTGGGGCCACCGGGACCTTGGTGGGGAATTTGCCCGCCAGGGCCAGGCGGAGAGGGGCGGTGAGACCTGGCAGCCCAGGGGTGAGGCGGTGGGCGCAGTGAACTGGGAAGAGGAGGACCAGCCCAGGGCAGCCAGTCCTCCCACATCAGGAGGGGCCCGCGGTGGAAGGCGCCCGCCGGGGCTCAGAGCCCAAGGCCTGCCTCTGGGCTGTGCTCCCTCCCGGCTGGGTCACTGGGACCCCGGCTGCCCACTCAGACGCCCCCGTCTCCACACAGGGGCCCTCGGGCCCTGCCGGTGGACAGTGGCATGATTCTCTTGGGACCTGTTTGCTGTGCTGCTCTGAAGCATCCCGTCATCCCTTCACATACAACTGTCCACGGCCCACAGTTCCCCGCCTCCTGCAGGCTCCCGACCGCCTCCCACCCCCAGGACCAAGTCGGGCTGGGACCCTGGGTCACGTGTGTCTGGCTAGCGAGAACACTCTCAGGGACCAGAAACCACGGGCCGACCCCACACCTCCCACTGGACACAGGAGTCCCAGCCAGTGCTTAAGGAGGTGGGGAAGGGGGGCTCCCTGTCCCCAGGTCGGGGAGAACAGTGTGCCGTGACATGGGGACAGGGCACCCCTTCCCAGTTCAGGGAGCCTGGGGGCTCAGGGGATCCGCAGGGGCTCCCCGGGCTGTCAGCCGGCAGCGCCCTGCGGTTTTGTCCAGACTTCAGGATGTCAGAATGAGCAGCGAGCTGTCCGAAATGCACATTCCCTGACCCACCTCCGCCCTCTGGAGTCAACCCCCCGCAGGAGGTGGCTTCAGGGACCTCACACTGAAGCAGGGACTCCGGCCACATGTCCACAGAATGGATGAGTCCAGGCCCTGGACAGCCCCACTGGCCCGGGCGCCGCCCTACAGGGCTGGGGTGCACACCCGGCCTCACGCCCTGGGGCACCTCGACCTCCTGCCTCCAAGGAGCACGGCGGAAGAAAGGAGAAGTCCTGGGCATGAGATCTGTCCAGCTCGGCTCTGCTCAGTCACAGGGCCTTCATCACCCACACCCACTCAGGGCCACGCGCACCCCAACCCCGCCCCTGGCTGGGCACCAGCCCCCCTCCTCACTCACCATAGTCTTTCTTGCAGTACTTTTTCATGTTAATCTTCAGCTTCCCTTTGGAGGCCTTGCAGTAGGAATCACAGTCTGTAGGGGAGGGCAGAGCACAGAAAAACCTAATTAGGCTGGTGCTGAATAGGCTGGCGGGCAAGTGGGGAGGCCGCCCCCCTGAATACCCAGAGGCCCGTGATACCCATGGGCCAGGCGGGCGGGCGGCCATTCAGGGCAGATCTGGCTTCCAAAGAGGCGCCTGGGACAAAGCCCCCCCCCCCCCCAACTACCCCCTCCAGCCTGACATCCTTTAGCGGCTGCCTGCAGCCCCTTGGCCTCCAGGAGGGGCTCTGGGGGCTCCCGTCTGGTGCCACCCAGGGCTTCTGAGCGCCACGCAGATTCCCCGTTCTTAAGGCGCAAGTGGAGCCTGATTAAAGCCAATAGAGGCCGCATTGTCACCCCGCGCCCCGGGTCTGTGTCAGGCGCTGGCTTTCATGGCGCGGAGCCTCTGGCTGGGGTCAGGCCCCAACAAAAGAGGTCACAGAGGAAATTAGCAGCCCATGAAGTATTAGAAAACCGCTTTGGTGTCCACTCTACTGGAGTGTGCAAATAGAATGCCCCGAAGAGCCCAGTTCTGATGGGCCCCGCTGCTGAGACAGGGCTGCCTGCGCCGGGTATCAGCTCGGGGCGCCCCGGTCCCAGGGCCAGCCAGGCGGGGTGAAGGGCCCCGGGTCTGCCAGAAATCGGCCTGCTTCTCCGGGGATGGCCTGTGGCAGCCTCCAAATGCACACCTCCACCCCAGCCCCCCACGCCCGCCCCGCCCGCCCTTCCTGCCGGCGGGCGAGGTGGTGTCATTCCTTCCCTGGGTCTGTGTCTGGTGGCCGGCCCCCCAGAGGCCCGGTTCATCGTTCCGGCCTGCCCTGCACACTACTGACATGCTGGGCCACATCCAGTTCTCACCACCATTCTTTGAAGTGTGGGTGTTGGTTATAGTCCCATTCTGCAGATACAAAAACGAAGGCTGCCTGCCCAATGCATCCCAGACAGCTAGCACCAAACGTGGGGTCTGAGACGTTAAAAATCACTGCACCCTTGCCCTGGCTGGTTTGGCTCAGCGGTTAGAGCGGCGGCCTGCGGTCCAGAGAGACCTGGGTTCGGTTCCCGCTAAGGGCATGTACCTCGGTTGCTGTTTGTCCCCGGCCCTGGTTGGTCGTGCGGGTGGCAGCCACTCGATGTGTCCCTTCACGTCGATGTTTCTCACTCTCTCTCCCTCCCACTCTATCTGTACAAAAAATGGAAAAATATCCTCGGGTGAGGATAAAAAAAAAAAAAAAAAAAATTATAAAAAAAAAAATCACTGCACCCTTGGCCACACCATGCTGTGTCTCAGTAAACACCCACGGACTCCCCTCTGGGAGTAGGGTGCTAGGCTCGGAGCTGGGGACGAGGGATGACGTGCCAGGCTGGCCTGGGCCGTGGAGAGCCCAGCCTGTTCTAGGGGCAATGACAGCGTGGGCGGTGGAAGTGGGCTGCGTGTATGTCCTGGTGAGGCGTGGGAGGGGGACAACAAAAGTGAAGGGGACACACCCAGACATATATGTGACTGGTCAGGAGCAGCTGCCCCCACCCATTCTGCAGAGTGGAAAACCAAGGCCAAGGTGGGGTGAGGAGGGTTTGCAGGGGAGCACAGGGCAAAGCCAGGGCATGACGTCAGCCTCCCCCGCCACCACCTCCAACCCGTGGCTGAGGTCCGCGGGGAAGATTCAGGAGCACCCCAGAGTCCGTCTCCGACCCCATGGGACGCTGCCACCTCCTTCCAGGTCCTGAGGTGCACTGACGGGCGCCTGAAGCAGCCCATCCCACTGCCCTGGGAGTCACAGCCTGGCAGCTCCCTAAGGCCTCCTAGGCCAGCTTCCTGGCGCCCCCAGTTAGAAACCAGCCTCAGGAACTGAGGAAGAAACAGTCCCCTTGTCTGCCCCCCAAGTGGTTGGAGCCCTTGGACCCCCCACCAGGGTGCCCTGCCCAGGCGCACCAGAGGCTCCAGAGCCGATCCCTCCTGCCAGCTGGCTGGCTGGTTGGTTGGTCACTGGAGGAAGAACCTCTTGGCCTGCAGGGCCTGGGTCATCCAGAGAGAGGGGCCTGCACCCCACCAGGGCCAAGTCCGAGAGGCCAGCTGAGAGGGACGCAAGCAGCGAAACGGCACCGTCAGCACCATCATCACACTGCACTTCTGCTGGGCACAGCGCTCTGGGCACGTCTCTGCCCACTCAGGGACAGATGACGCTCACAGCAAAGCCTCCGCTGTGGCTGAACCCCGGTTGTGCGTAGGTCCTCGTGGTCCTGAGTGAGCCGGCTGGAGTCCCGCCCTGCTCTCTCCACTTAGGGAAGCGAATTGGAATGTAAATGGTGCCGGGTGACGTTGTTCCAGGGACAGCCTTGAATCCGCCCTCGTCACTTTGGCCCCGGCAGTACTTGCATTCGGGTCGGGAGGAAATCCGCGCCCTGCCTCCTCTGCACGGGTCTGGACACAGCCTGTCGCGCGTCAACTATGAGAGCCTCGGAACAACCCCACGAGGAAGGACCAAACCCCTTTAAAGACCAGGAAAGTGGAGTCTGGAAAGGCTCCCGGGCGCCCTCCCCAGAGGCAAGGCGGCCAAGCCCTGCGCCCGCCAAGCCCTGCGCCCGCCTAGCCCAGCACCTCCAGCTCTCCTCCCCCTGCCTCCTCGTGACATCTACAGCTCTTCTTTTTAGAGCCAAGTGTCCACCTGAGACAGGAGTCGTACCAGAGTGTGTGGCATCCATCACTGTCTAATTAGCTGGAGCTCTGGACCCTGCTTGACAAGCTACAGACACCCCCATCACTACCCAGTCTGTGCCTCCGTGAGGGCGGCCGCTCACACATGCGAACAAGGCAGCACAGCTCCCCGCCCTGCCCACCAGCCCCATTCACAGGTGAGGCCGTCTGGCGGCAGAGTCTATACTCCTAACCCCTGGTTCCCAACCTGGACCAAACAGGAGCATTACCCAGAAGCTGCAGAACACACCGATGCCTGACTCCCACCCCCAAGACATTGTCATTGGTTAAGGGGGCAGCCTGAGTGTTCAGACTGATAAGAGTCATCAGGTGATTCTAATGTGCAGCCAGGCCTGGAAACCACTGTCTGAATGAGCTACAGCTGTGGGAGGGGACAGAGCCTCTGCACGCAGACTCGCACGAGCACCCGAGCTGCAGCTGTGGGAGGGGGCAGAGCCTCTGCACGCAGACTCGCACGAGCACCCGAGCTGCAGCTGTGGGAGGGGGCAGAGCCTCTGCACGCAGACTCGCACGAGCACCCGAGCTGCAGCTGTGGGAGGGGGCAGAGCCTCTGCACGCAGACTCGCACGAGCACCCGAGCTGCAGCTGTGGGAGGGGGCAGAGCCTCTGCACGCAGACTCGCACGAGCACCCGAGCTGCAGCTGTGGGAGGGGGCAGAGCCTCTGCACGCAGACTCGCACGAGCACCCGAGCTGCAGCTGTGGGAGGGGGCAGAGCCTCTGCACGCAGACTCGCACGAGCACCCGAGCTGCAGCCGTGGGAGGGGGCAGAGCCTCTGCACACAGACTCGCACGAGCACCCGAGCTGCAGCTGTGGGAGGGGGCAGAGCCTCTGCACGCAGACTCGCACGAGCACCCGAGCTGCAGCTGTGGGAGGGGGCAGAGCCTCTGCACGCAGACTCGCTCGGAGCACCCGAGCTGCAGCCGTGGGAGGGGACAGAGCCTCTGCACGCAGACTCGCACGGAGCACCGGAGCTGCAGCCGTGGGAGGGGGCAGAGCCTCTGCACGCAGACTCGCACGGAGCACCAGCCTGGCTGGATGAGGCGGATTAGCGGGTGCGAGACACCGGAGCACGCACGAAGAGTGCCAGCCCCTGAACACGTGCAGCGGTGTTTCTTTGTGTGGGGGTCCTGTGTCTCTCCTTCCAGTCAGCCAGAAACTCCTGTCTGGTCCGTGTGCTTCTTGCTGTGAAATATTCCCTACTCCCTTACGATCTGCAGCTTCCAGTGTAGGTGTGAGCTAAGAAAACAGAAAGGCTTGCTAGGGTTACGTGTGAAGCAGGTGAACAGGCTCGGGAGGAGGCCGCAAGGCTCTGCTCGGGGAAGTGAACGCCTCTAGCACACGGACACTGCGGCAGCTCCCTGGCTGCTGGGGACGCTTTGTGTTGGTTGTCTTCCAGGGAACTGAGGTCATTGGACGAGTGGTCCTTGGGTGAGGAAAATGTTCCTGCGTTTTCTGCTTTTATCAAACACACACAGAGCTGCTGAGGCTGCTTCAGGACGGACCAACCACGGCTCTACCGTGCGGCTCTGACTCCTTCAACATGGCATCTACTTGGCAGCCGCCCACGGAACCTCTGCTCGCTTGGTTCCCACACAGCTCCGAAGACAATGAGAAAGAGAGTGAAAATTCACACTAATGCCAAAAACGGAACTGATAGATGACCCAGGGTTGGGATCTGGGAGCAATCTCTATTAATTCAAGGCAGATGGTGGAAGAAGCGAAACCTGTCCAGGTTTTACCTCCGGACACAGTTCTTTGTCTGAGGAACAGAAAGAGCCTAAAACGGGGGAAAGACAGAGAACAGCAGAGAACAAGTGGGCAGGAAGCGGGCAGGGCACTGGTGCCGCGGCCCCCTTCAGGGCGGGGAGGCTTGAGGAAGGGCAGGGACCGGAAGGACCGTGTTTGCAGTAGACGCTTGAACCTGCACTTGTGTCCACGCTACTGATGCAGAGAATGAGAAACTCCGGCAGAGGAGGCAGAAGACCCACCTCCAGGGAGCAGAAGGGAATCGAGGGAAAAGGCCGGGAAGAATGAGGAGCTGGAGACGGACCTGCACACATTCCCGTCATCCAGCTTGGAGCCGCGACGGGAATCCAGCTGTCACACTAGTGCAGGGATCTGCCCTTTTTTTTTTTTTTTTTTTTTTTTTTGCCAAGTGCCAAAAGTAAATATTTTAGGCTTTGCAGGCCATACGGTCTCGATCACAGCTATTGAAACTCTGCCGCCACCGCTGAAAACAGTCATAGACGATGCGTAAGCGCATGAGTATGGCAGACTGA